CTTTTTTGAAGCTTCTCAGCTTCTTCCCACTTCCTCCTTCGGGCCTCATCTCTGAAATCTGGACCTACTTTTATTATAGCAAGTAGTACATGGTTTAGCATTTATTTGCATGTTTATTTTAGACTGTAAAGTCCCTGAGGGCCAAAGACTATCTCATTCATCATTGTGTCCCTAGCATCCGGCACATAGTAGCCGCCTCCGTAAAGATTTGTGAGAGCATAAATGCATGAGTGAAGCAGAGAATAAGCCATGCCCTTCTGCTTCTTGAAACCATCTCCTCTGGCTTCCTGCTTCTTCTTCATCTTTCCTCCCGGTTGTCCCCTTATCTCTTACTGCTCTTGTTCTGTTTTTCATTCACTGGCCCTTTTTCCTCAGCCCTCTGCCGACATAGCAAAATTGCCGGCTGCCCTGCCTTCAGCCCTCTCCCCACTCTATACTCTTTCTGGTGACCTCATCTTTGCACCTGGCTGCCACTCTTTCCATCTGCTGAAGGCTAGCAAAGCCACACCTCCAACCCCTACCTCTCTTCTGAGATCCAGATTATTTTCCAACTGCTTGTGGTAAAGCATCACGATTGAGAGCTCGACTGCAGTGCCAGAAGCTTCAGGAATGGGTTTGGTTTCCAACCTAACCACTGTCTCTTCAAGATCTTCGTTTTCGTCATTGGTGAATTTGAAATGGTGGCTGGTATCCAGTTTGTAGGGTTGTTTTGAGGATTAAATGAAGCAGTGTATTTAAAGCTCTTAGCACAGTGTCAGCCTGGCATAAAGCAGCTGCTCAATAATTGTTAGGTACATCTCTATCTGAAGGTCCTGCAGAACCCCTAAACTGCTCAAAAACGGTATTCTCCCTCTCACACCTCTTCCCTGTTCCCAAACCTTCTGATTTCCTCTTGAAATAATGCTAGAATCAGTGGGACCTTGGCTGACACAGATGTTATTTGGGGCTGCCAAGGGGACCCTTGGCATCTCCACAGCCCTCAGCATCTCTCACCCAGATGATTACAACTGCCTACCTTCCCACCAGACTTGCTCTCTAATGCAAACTCTATCTGGTCGGCTCCTGCCAGAGTGATTTCTGTAAAATGCAAAGCAAATCTGACCATGTCCTACCCATCCTCCTCTACGTGCCCCATTAAATCTTTCAGTGATGGGATAAAGCCCAGATCTCTTCATGTGGCAAATAAAGTCCTTCATTTCTTCGTGTCTGGATCCCACATTCCACTTCGCCCGTAACATGCCTTGCTGCTTCTTGCCTTGGTACCTGCTGTTCCTCCTCTTGGAATGTCCTTCCCTCTTTCCTCTCACCCCTCACTGGAGCATGTTTTGCTCCTTCTACAGCTCACTATCCACCTAGGGCACCTAATAAACTCTAAGGTAATCATTTACCCCCCGTACGTTTCCCCTTCACCAGCCCACTTCCCCAGCTGGCGAGCTCGTTGACAGCAGGCAACTTTTGACATTTTTTAAAATGTAGCTTTGTTTCCTGAGCTGCCAAGCCCAAGGCCTTACAAATAATAGGACCTCAGTGATTTACGAATGCACACACTTTGGGAGTCTGTGCTTTGGAATTAGGAGACAGTATAATCAGTTTACATCTTTGCTCTATTGATCTTGTGTGAGTGGTTGTTTGGAAGAATAATGTGACTCCATTGCAACTTGATTACGTTGTGCAATCCTTTGTGTTAGAAGTTGCAGCATGTTGTGACATGTCTTGGGAACAGGAACTGTCTGACATAGTATAGTTTCTTCTGTTATTTAAGTTGTGTGTACAAACTCATTTCACAAACGTTCCTTTGCGCACCTACTTTGTACCAGGCCCTGGGCAAGGCATAGCAGCATAGAGCAATAATACTACAATAACACTCTAATTATGTACCTCCTTTACTCTGCACCTAAGTTAGCTCATGAGATCAACCACCTTTTAAATATGAGTAAACAAAGGCTCATATTTAAAATGTCTTTTCTAAAGGAATATAGCCAGTAAGTGGAGAATCAGATTTGAACGAAGGTCTGCCTTATTCCTAAGCCCACTTCTACTTTCAATACCGTATACCACCTTGTGGGTACCAATTGTTGGACACCTTCTGTCTCTGAGGTGCTGGATATGCATTATTTTGATTTGATTTTCCTAACATTCTGCAAGGCATTATCCCCATTTTCCTGGAGAGGAAATGGGCTCAGAGAGGTTGAGTGCCTGTGCAGGATCACACAGAACTGTGGCAGGAGGCAGAGTTGAGATATTCACTCAGGTTGGCTTGCCTCCCAAGCCCTTTCTCTGTCCACTTAGCATACGGCGTGATCTAGCCAGAGGGCAAAAGTCTGTAAGAGGGGAATTGAAGTTCCCTGTGGTAAGTGCAGGAGTAAAACAGCAAGGGCAAGGAGCTGCTGGTTCAAAGAGGAAGAAATGGAGATAGCTGTTCAGGCTGTGGGTTCCAAATGTTCTGATCATGCCAATATTATGCTAAGTCATTCGTTCATTTGTTTGTTCATTCATTCGTCAAATACTGTTTGGCCCTTCAATTTGCTATGGATGTTAGTGGCAATTGATATAAACATGAGCAAGATAGTCATTTTTTAAAAGAATTCATGATTTTTTAGGGGGAAGGGGATAGACAGATGAGACAGAAAAACATGGCTGCAACAGAAATAAGTACTGCAACAGAGCTAGTCACCGGGTACTGTTTACCAGGCATGGGAGGTAAATCAGCAGCTCCTCCAGGTCATGAGTAGTCCGTTCCATCCAAGCTCCTCACCAGGCTTGCACAGCCCTCCAGGATCTGTCCTGCCAGCCTCTCTGACCATTTGAACTTCTGCCACGTGCACCAAGGTTGTCAAACTCCTTCCTGCCATAGGGCCTTTGCCCTTGCTGTTCCCACAGTCTGGCGTGCTCTCTCTCCAGTGCTCTACATCCAGGACTTAGATCAAACATGTCCTGCTCAGAGAGGCCTTCCCTGACTGCCCTCCCCATTCACTCTTTGTCACATCATCCAGTCTTCCATCTATTCCAGCACTACTTGCCATCTACAAGTCAGTATAGTTTATTTTTTTATTTGTATTTTTTTTGAGGAAGATTAGCCCTGAGCTAACTGCTGCCGATCCTCCTGTTTGCCGAGGAGGAATGGCCCTCAGCTAACATCCGTGCCCATCTTCCTCTGCTTTATATGTGGGATGCCTACCACAGCATGCGGTGCCATGTCCGCACCCAGGATCCGAACCGGTGAACCCCAGGCCGCCGAAGTGGAACGTGCATGCTTAACCACTGCGCCACTGGGTAGGCCCGAGTCAGTAGTTTAGTGGTTAACAGCGTGGGCTCTGAGCCAAGCTACTTGGGTTCCAATCTCAGTTCTGACATTTTTCTAGCTAAATAAATGTGGGCAAATTATTTAACCTTTCTGTATCTCAGTTCTCTCATCTGAAAATGGGAATGGTAACAATGGTACTCCTGTCTCACAGTGTACTATTGGGGATTAACTGAGTTACGTATGTAAAGCATTAATAGTGTCTGGCATGTAGGAAGTGTGTAATAAGTATGAAGTGAGTGAATCGTCTCATTTTTTCATCCATCCAATACATATTGAGTTTGAATATTTAGAGACTATCGAATTATTTTGATTTAATTTTCCTAACACTCTGCAAGGCATTTTTCCTGCAGAAGAAATGGACTCAGAGAGGTTGAGTGCCTGTGCAGGTTCACACAGAACTGTGATAAGCCATTTCCCTTGTTGACACAGATATGCATTTTACGTGTAAACTTTTGCCCAGAGGTCATCCAAACTTCATCTCTTCATTCTAATTTCTATCCTCCTTGAACCCCACTTTCTGTCTCGGTTTTCATAGTGACCAGGAGGCATCCATGGCTAGTGCCTTATTATGGCTTGAAATGACACGTAAATCTATGCATTTTTCCACTCACATGATTTGTTTGTTGCTTGTAGTTGTGTTCCTTCCTTTAGAGTTAGAATCAATTAGAGGTTTGGCTAATGAGGAAATGGTAAAAGCTCACCAAACAGATGATGAAAGCAGAATACTAGATAGAAGGCCCACCTCTTTGCTTCTTCATGTTCTGTTCTTGTTGCGTAGAATATTCTGTAACCACTTGAACCAACCACTCCTTTCCCCATTTTGCCTAATTGCTTCTCTACCTGGATTTCCCTTCCTCTTAGAAGACTTCCCTGACTTTCTGAGACAGTGGGCTCTTGAGTAGACCTTGTCCTCACCCCTCTATAAGACTTATTATTCCCCTGCAGGGTACCTGTCTGCTTTCCTGTCTCCCCTACTAGTCTGCATTGCCATCTGGCCTGGGCCATCATTTTTGTCTTATTCTCCATTGTATCCTCAACCAAGCAATAACTTCTTACTATTAATAATTAGTGTTCTTTATGTACATATTGAACTCAGATAGAGGACAAGAACCAATAAAGCAGGTAAATTGGGAGATGGTGATTTGTATTGTGTTACAAAAGATCTATTCACTTTATTAGGATTTTTTGCAGGGTTCCTTTGAGTAGGGAGTCAGGGTTATTGCTATTAAAACAACCCCAAATCTCAGTAGCTTAACACACACAAACTTTCTTGATTTTATCATAGTTCAATGCAAGTATTCAGTTAAGAGCCTTCCAAATCCTATGGCTTCACCATCCTTTATGCCCTTGGAGTCCTCTGCTGGGTCCTCTGCATTTTCTGGTAGATGGGGAAAGATAAAGAAGAGACTCACTCAAGAGGTTTTTCTTCTGGGTCACACCTGGAAGTGGCATACATCACTTTCCATCCTGGGGACCAGAACTCAGTTATGTGGCTGCACAAACTGCTAGGGAAGCTGGGGAAAGTGGTCTAGCTGTGTGCCCAGGAGGAAAGGGAAGTATGTTTTGGTGAATACACAGCAGTCTCTGCCCCCATCCCAGAGCCAGAAGGCCGTCATATAAAGTGAGGCCCCTGTCTACCTGCAGTGGGTCCCAGAATAAAGGAATTGCACTGATGTCTACTGTTTTGGCTTTGCAGACAAACTCATGTGATCAAAATCTAAATCAATGCCTTGAACTCATTGAACAAGTTGCCAAAGTGCAGGGACAACTCTTTGGGATCCTCACGACCACAGCCCAGGAAGGTAAGAGTGGCCTGTGCTTTCCCACCACCTCTCCCTCCTTTTCTGCCTTTTCTCTCTCTTTCTCTGTGCTCCCCGCCTGAGCTGGTGTGGCTGGATTTCTCTTGCTGACCTGACTTGTGGATTCTTCTAGGAGGACATTACGATGGTGTGGAAATAATCAAATCGCGCCTTTTGCCTTGGCTGGAGGCCTCATTTACTGCTGCTTCCCTGGGAAAACCTGTTGACAGCAGGGTCCCCTCTCTACAGGTAAGGATGCTAAAGGATCACCCTTGGCTTTCAGCACCCTGATCAGGCTCTGGGCACTGAAACATAAGTAAGATATGGTTTTTACCTAGTGAGGGGCTCAACTCTGCCTGGGGAATTGGGACAAAGCTATAAAGGTGAGTTTCTATTTACAGTAATATGCAGCATAATGGATTGAGTTTTTTCTTGAGACAGACCTACATTCAAATCTCAGCTTTGCCTACTTACTAGTGGTGTGACTTCAGGCAAATCAACGAGCCTTTGTTTCCTCAGCTATAAAAAGGACCCCATGGGGGCCTGGCCCAGCGGCCCAGTGGTTAAGTTTGCACGCTCTGCTTCTGTGGCCTGGGGTTTGCCGGTTCAGATCCCAGGTGTGGACCTACGCATTGCTTGTTGAGCCATGCTGTGGCAGGTGTCCCACATATAAAGCAGGGGAAGATGGGCACAGATGTTAGTTCAGGACCAGTCTTCCTCGGCAAAAAGAGGAGGATTGGCAGCAGATGTTAGCTCAGGGCTAATCTTCCTCAAAAAAAAAAAAGGACCTGAGGATGGTCTAATCTGGGACATTGCTTGCCCACACTGGGCATTAAATAGCAACTTTTAAATGACAAATGTCACCCAGACAGTTAGGGTACCGCAGGGGCTCAGAAGAGAAAGAGATCATCAAATGGGGGAAAGCTTGGTATTCTGAAATATTGAAATTAATTGGAAACTTCCAAGATAAGAAAAAAAACTCAATTCTGGTAGACTGACAAAGAGTCTTATAATTTGTGGTTGATGTCGGTGGTTTCCATGGAACAGTGTCAGTGTTTTAACATTTGAAGACTAGACTGGAAAGAGAACATATACCTTGCTTTAGGCCTTGGCATCCTTATATCTGACTAAGCAAAGCATTGGTAACCTTGATTTTAAATGTTTACATAGATTTACATAAATTCCTTTCTAAAATTAAAGCATTTAGAGCAGGCTGTCCTAAGGAAGAGGGCCTTATCACATAGTGGCTGAAGGGTTCCTACTTGGAGACACTGGACAGAATTCTAGTCTATCTTGTATGGTCCTGGGTGGGTTGTCTAACCTGTATATCTCAGTTTCCCCATTTGTTGAATGGGGACAGTGCTTTTACTGACTTAATAAGATTGTGAGAATTAAATGTGATAAGCATGTGAAACAGCTTGCATGTGGTGAGTACTCTATAGATTCAGTTGTCATTAAGCAGATTTTTCCCTGGGGATTTATGTATGCTTCTTAGATTTTTACCCCCTGTGAGTGTTCTAGATATAGAGATATAGGATGATATTTCAATGTCTTTTTAAAAAATTGAGGTATAATTTACCTACAGTGAAATCTATAGGTTGAGGAATTTTGACAAAGGCACATATCTGTGTAACTTATACCCTATTTTGACATAAAACATTTCCATCATTTCAGAGCTACTTCCCTGTCACCTCCCTCCGCCCTCAGGGCAGCCACTCTCCTGGTTTTCATTGTGCTAGATTAATTTTGCCTGCACTAGAACTTTATGTAATTGGAACCATACATTACGTGCTCTTTTATGCTTGCCTTCTTTTGCTCAGCATAATGTTTTTGCAATCTGTCCATGTTGTTTCATGTATTCAGACTAGTTTTTGATTTGTGTATCATTCCAGGACACGTTTGATAAGGAGAGACAGAAAGAGTCTGGTGTTCGGGAGCGGGACATACAACAATTAGACTTTGAGTTGAACTCAACTCGTAATCAACTCAACCAGGTTCAAGACGAGTAAGAGGAATGCAAGTTATCTTTTTCCAAAAAGAATTGCTTGTTCTTAATTTAATTTTTAAGCTTGAAAAGAGAATAATGGCTCGTAAAAGTGTAGACACTTACAAATAAGTAATATGGGTGTGTGTGTGTGTGTCGGGAGTCAGTGTCTCTGAATTTGGGGACAGGATATCTAGATTATGTTATCATCCCTAAGACCCTGATGCTCTCAGCTCCATTCCTGGAGCCCCCACTTCTCCATAGAACCATTATCAGCCCATATTTATAAGTAGGGGAAAATTGTTACATGGAAATCTATCTTTTTGGAGGAAAATAAAAGATGCCGAAGGGGAAGGGTTAAAGGGGGTGAAAGAACAGGTAAAGAGAAACATGAAGATAAAGAGAGTGAAAGTAAGATGAAGCGGGCTGCATTTGTCTGTCAGTTGTAGTCATTTAGGGGTATATTTGCGTGACTGAGAGAGCAGACCCTTTTAAGAATGAACAATTCAAGATTTTGGAATAACTATTAGATACAAAAATGTATTTTAAAAAGTTAAGCAATGCCAGGCAGCAACAGATATCAGATGTCTGCTATGTGCAAAGCCAGGCTGGCAAGCTTAGGGAATCACTGAAAGAAAATTGCAAACTTCGCATTTGTACTTGAGAAGATAGACAAATGTGTATGAAGCTGCACTCAACACACCTGACAAAAATCCATCAAGAAGGCGTTTCTCCTACCACCGCATTGCTCCACTGCTGACATGTACAGGACAGCACGGAATTCTTTTTTCACTAGTTAAGACGTGTGATGGAATAGGGTGTGGCATTCTGCCCTTTTCTCTGATGAGCTTTCCTTCTAAGGAAAACATCTTGACTGATTTAGCTTTGCTTGATTAAGAAAGTAATGCAAATTTCCTTCTCAAAATGCACACACAGATAAAAGTATAATGATGGAAATCACCTCTTATCTTCTCCCTGTTAACATTTTGAAATATTTTGCCCCAGACGTTTTTCTTGGTGTGTGCTTGCACGCATACACATAGTTACCTCCACACACCCCCATCTTGAATGAGCAGTTTTATAGCTGCCGAAGTCAAAATTTACAAAAGTAATGTGCAAAAAGCATAATTCCTCTGAATTTATGCAACTTAAATTTCAACGAATGTCAGCTGATTTGGAGTGGAGTGAGGAGAATCCTTAAATTTGTCACTTTTTTTTCTGGTTTATTGTAGTCCCTTTTGTGTAAATACTCAGTTAATTCCAAGTTCAGACTTCTGTGAGGGGCTGCGTTTGCCCTCTCGAGGGGTCTCATTGCTCCCCCTTCCTTACGTTGGTATCTAGGGGCGGAGGGATGCTTGCATGCTCTCCTGGTCCTGGAGGAGAGGGGCTTTGGGTCTTGCACTGCCCTCTGGGTTCGTGCTGCCTTGTTTCCACCCGGGGAACTAGAGTCTTGTGCTGAGGAGTGCTAAGTTGTGACTTGTCTGGTTTCCTGGGGCACTGGCTGCCACTGCTGCTGATGGCCAGGCTCCTCCATTTGCCTCTAGTTGTGAGCAGGGCTTTGAGATTTTGCTGGTTCTTAACTTTTATCAGCACCAGTAGGAGCCAGGAATTCCTATCTCCCTCTCTTATCACTCTGGCTCTGTAGTTTCCTATAAGGAGCACCATGGGATAAGAAGAGACTATGACTGCATGATTTTTTTTTTTAAAGTTAATTTTTATTGAGTTTATGATAGTTTACAATCTTGTGAAATTTCAGTTGTACATTGTTGTTTGTCAGTTGTGTTGTAGGTGCACCCCTTTGCCCTTTGTGCCCACCCGCAACCCCACCTTTCCCCTGGTAGCCTCTAATCTGTTCTCTTTGTCTACATTTTTAAATTCCTCATATGAGTGGAGTCATACAGAGATTGTCCTTCTTTGTCTGGCTTATTTCACTTAACATAATTCCCTCAAGCTCCATCCATGTTGTTGTGAATGGGATGATTTTATTCTTTTTTATGGCTGAGTAGTGGTATATATATACCATATCTTCTTTATCCAATCATTGGTTGATGGGCACTTAGGTTGCTTCCACATCTTGGCTATTGTAAATAAGGCTGCAATGAACATAGGGGTGCATGGGAGTTTTGGAATTACTGACCTTCAAGCTCTTTGGATAGATACCCAGTAGTGGGTGGGTCATATGGTATTTCTATATTTAATTTTTTGAGAAATCTCCATACTGTTTTCCATAGTGGCTGTACCAGTTTGCATTCCCACCAGCAGTATATGAGGGTTCCTTTTTCTCCACAACCTCTGCAACATTTGTTACTTTTTGTTTTGGTTATTTTTGCCATTCTAATGGGTGCAAGGTGATATCTTAGTGTAGCCTTGATTTTCATTTCCCTGATGATCAGCGATGATGAGCATCTTTTCATGTGTCTATTTGCCATCCGTATATCTTCTTTGGAGAAATGTCTATTTATGTCTCCTGCCCCTTTTTTGATCGGGTTGTTTGATTTTTTTGTTGTTGAGTTGTGTGAGTTCTTTATATATTATGGAGATTAACCCTTTGTTGGATATATGACTTGCAAATATTTTTTTCCCAATTAGTGGGTTGTTTTTTATTTCAATTCTGTTTTCCCTTGCCTTGAAGAAGCTCTTTAGTCTGATGAAGTCCCATTTGTTTATTCTTTCGATTTTTTCCTTTGTCTGAGAAGACATGGTGTCCAAAAAGATCCTTTTAATACTGATGTCAAAGAGTGTACTGCCTATATTTTCTTCTAGAAGTCTGATGGTTTCAGGTCTTACCTTTAGGTCTTTGATCCATTTAGAGTTTATTTTTGTGAATGGTGAAAAAGAATGGTCAATTTTCATTCTTTTACATGTGGCTTTCCAGTTTTTCCAGCACCATTTGTTGAAGAGACTTTCTTTTCTCTATTGTATGCCCTCAGTTCCTTTGTTGAAGATTAGCTGTCCACAGATGTGTGGTTTTATTTCTGGGCTTTCAATTATGTTCCATTGATCTGTGCACTTGTTTTTGTACCAGTACCATGCTGTTTTGATTACTGTAGCTTTGTAGTATGTTTGAAGTCAGGGATTGTGATGCCTCCCGTTTTGTTCTTTTTTCTCAGGATTGCTTTAGCAATTCGGGGTCTTTTGTTGCCCCACATGAATTTGAGGATTCTTTGTTCTATTTCTGTAAAGAATGTCATTGGGATTCTGATTGGGATAGCGTTGAATCTGTAGATTGCTTTAGGTAGTATGGACATTTTAACCGTGTTTATTTTTCCAATCCATGTACATGGAATGTCTTTCCATCTCTTTATGTCATCATCCATTTCTTTCAGAAAAGCCTTGTAGTTTTCATTGTATAGGTCTTTCACTTCCTTAGTTAAATTTACCCTGAGGTATTTTGTTGTTGTTGTTGTGATTGTGAATGGTATTGTGTTCTTGAGTTCTTTTTCTGTTAGTTCATTATTAGAGTATAGAAATGCTACTGATTTATGTAAGTTGGTTTTATACCCTGCCACTTTGCTGTAGTTGTTGGTTATTTCTAACAGTTTTCCAATGGATTCTTTGGGGTTTTCTATATATAAGATCATGTCGTCTGCAAACTGCAAGAGTTTCACTTCTTCCCTCCCTTTTGGATTCCTTTTATTCCTTTCTCTTGCCTAACTGCTTTGGCCAAAACCTCCAGTACTACGTTGAATAAGAGTGGTGATAGAGGGCATCCTTGTCTCGTTCCTGTTTTCAGGGGGGTGGCGCTCAGTTTTTGCCCATTGAGTATGATGTTGGCTGTGGGTTTGTTATATGTGGCCTTTATTATGTTGAGGTAATTTCCTTCTATCCCAATTTTGTTCAGAATTTTTATCATAAATGGCTGTTGGATCTTGTCAAATGCTTTCTCTGCATCTATTGAGATGATCATGTGGTTTTTACTCCTCAGTTTGTTGATGTGGTGTATGACATTGATTGATTTGCAGATGTTGAACCATCCTTGTGTCCCCGGTATGAATCCCACTTGATCATGATGTATGATCCTTTTGATGTATTGCTGAATTTGAGTTGTGAAAATTTTATTGAGAATTTTTGCATCTATGTTCGTCAGTGATATTGGCCTGTAGTTCTCCTTTTTTGTGCTGTCCTTGTCAGGCTTTGGTATCAGTGTGATGTTGGCTTCGCAGAATGTGTTAGGAAGTGTTCCATCCTCTCTAATTGTTTGGAATAGCTTGAAAAGTATAGGTATTAAATCCTCTTTGAAAGTTTTGTAGAATTCCTGAGGAAAGCCATCTGGTCCTGGGGTTTTATTCTTTGGGATGCTTTTGATTGCTGTTTCAATCTCCTTCCTTGTGACTGGTCTGTTCAGATTGTCTGCTTATTCTTGACTTAGCTTTGGGAGATTGTAAGAGTCTAAGAATTTATCCATTTCCTCTAGGTTATCCATTTTGTTGGCATATAGTTTTTTTGTACTATTCTGTTATAATCCGTTGTATTTCTGTGGAGTCTGTTGTTATTTCTCCTCTTTCATTTCTGATTTTGTTTATTTGAGCTTTCTCTTTTTCTTTGTAAGTCTGGCTAGGGGTTTATCAATTTTATTTATCTTCTCAAAGAGCCAGCTCTTTGTTTCATTGATGCTTTCTACTACCTTTTTTGTTTCAATAGCATTCATTTCTGCTCTATTTTTACTATTTCTCTCCTTCTGCTGACTTTGGGCTTTGTTTGTTCTTCTTTCTCTAATTCAGTTAGGTGTAGTTTAAGATTGCTGATTTGGGATTTTTCTTGTTTGTTAAGGTGTGCTTCTATTGCGATGAATTTGCCCCTTAATACAGCTTTTGCTATATCCCATATGAGTTGTTATGGCATGTTATCGTTTTCATTTGTCTCCAGATATTTTCCAATTTCTTCTTTAATTCCTTCAATGACCCATTGCTTGTTCAATAGCATATTGTTTAGTTTCCAAATCTTTGTCCCTTTCTCAGCTTTTTTCTTGTAATTAATTTCTAGATTTATAGCATTATGATTAGAGAAGATGCTTGTTATTA